TTTTTAGCTAAGGCACTAGCTCCTATTTCATTTGGGCCCACATTTCCCTACCACAGATTTGTCAGCAATTCCTCTCCTCTTGCTACTCCTGGACACTCAGCCCATTAAATCTGACATGATATTTCCCTATCAATCACTCATGTGGACCCCATAGTCTTGGATAGCCAGAACCCCTTCTATTGCAAAAAACCATCAATCTATTGTTATCCATTTCCAGCACCTTACCTGGTACATCACTCAAACTCAGTACACTCTTTCTTTCCGGAGTTTTAGAGGACTTAAGCCTATCATACATGAACTTCTCAGAAAAAAATGCTACTTCATACAAACTCTTCACCTTTTAAAACCTCCAAACTTTGAGTTAAGAAGCCTAATAGAATATATATCTCTTTTTTACATTTTATGCCTGTACAGAAGTCTATGTATTCATATTTGGTACTGGCCTTAAAGGAGTGTGTCACCATGCTTTGCTCTACACCTTATTATGGCCTTGAACACACAGAGATCATATCTGATAAGTGTTCTAATTGAGGGTGTGTGTTGCCTGAATTTTTGTTTACTTAATATCACTAGCCTTCCACCCCCACCCCCCGCAATCTCCAGCAAAATTTAATAAAGCATAAATAATATATCACTACTTTTCAGCATAAATAAAATATCATTACACCTGCAGCCAATTAAATCTTCTGTGGCCCTCTGGATCCTGTAATGCCTAATCTTTACACAATTCTTTACCCTCTTGCTTCAGAAACCACACATTTCTGTTATAGATCTCAAGGATACCTTCTTTTCTATACCTCTCAACCCCCTGTTTCAAAATATCTTTCCCTTATCCTGGACAGACCCTGACACTTACTTGTATATGTAGCTAACTTGGACTGTCTTGACACAAAGATTCATGGACATCCCACAACTATTTCTTCAATTCCCAAATTCTGGCTTGCTCTACTTCTCCCTCATTGGCTTTAACTAATACAATAAGTAGATAACATTCTACTCTGAGGCCCATAATATAAGTTAGTCAAACTAACTCCTCCCTTCTTGTAAAATTTTGTGCAACTGGACTTATGGAGAGTCAAGTTCCAAAATCCAGATTCCACTCCTCAGGTCACCTATTTGAGTGTAAACATTACCACGTCATTCTAGGCTATATATTCAGATAGAAAACATCTAATTAAGTCTTTTGCAGGCTGCTCTATCTAACAGGATATTCTCTCCTTTCTAGGAATAGCTGACTACTTGTAGTTCTGCATTCCATCTTATTCATCTTCTTTTTTTTTCTTTTTTTTATTTTACAACACCATTCACTTCAACATAATAGCCACAGATTTTCCTGTTCTGCCCCTCTCGCCCCCCTCCCCCTCCCCCTAGCCCACCTCCCATTCCCACCTCCTCCAGATCAACGTCTCCCCCGAGGACCGGGATAGACCTGTTAGATGCAGTCCAGGCAGGTCCAGTTCGCCCCTCCCTGACCGAGCCAAGCGTCCCTGCATAAGTCCCAGGATTCAAACAGCCAACTCATGCAATGAGCCCAGCACCCGGCACCAACTCACAGCTGCCTCCCAAACATATCATGTCAAATGACTGTCTCACCCATTCAGGGGGCCTGATCCTGTTGGGGGCCCCTCAGCCTTTGGTTCATAGATCCTGTGCTTCCATTCATTTGGTTATTTGTCCCTGTGCTTTATCCAACTTTGGCTTTAACAATTCTCTTTTTTGTATGTTTTATTGTGGTCATTGTTACTTTACACTCTGTTTCTCTTCCAAGAAAAAAGGTGCATGTCTGACTGACAGAGATGTGGAAGCCCCCTGATGTCTGTTTGATCAAGGACAGAGATCCTCGAGTCTGGACTGTTTTTGGTGTGATTGAGCCTGGAGGGTCACTCTCCACAGAGCACATCAGGCTGTCATTGTTCTTAGAGCTTTGTTGGTTGTCTCGTTGGGGCAAAGTTTTTCGTGTGCCCTTGGTCTTGTGTGTAATGTGTTAACTGTTCTCATTGTTGACTTGACTGTGACGGACGCTATGGGACATTCCCCTTCTTCTCCACTAGACCTTTGCCTAGCCCACTGGAAGGATGTGCGAGCCACAATCGAGGGGCTTGCTAGCTGTGAATGAGGCCATCATCATCTCAGTGCTGATGTG